CCGGGGGGACGCTGTGGGGCCCGGTGGGACCGGTCTCAGTCAGGCCTCACTCCCAGCAGCCACACCTTCACCCCCCGCCCCCCCATCCTCTCAAAAGAGTCAAAAACAAGCAGCCGGAGCAATCACCTGACACATTTCCATCCAATTTCCACTGCAGAATGTGTTCATTTTCAGGCTAATGGCATGTCATTTTGCCGGAGCCTTTGGTCAAGAATTAATCCTGGAATCAAAACAGATTTTCCGGGGAGCAATCTTCCATCAAGTATTGATTTTTTTACACTCACGGAGCCTGTACTCCCTAATTTAACCTGACAGCCAGCAGCACAATGGACTGGGAGCACCTCGGCGCCTCACAGAGGGAGCTCTCTCCTCCCCTCCTCCTCCTCCTCCTCTGTCTTTTTTTTTCTTTTTTTCCCCGTGAAGTGAAAGAGAGATGGAGGAAGAGAAGTGGAAGAAGAACTCCCAGGTGGAGAAAACAAAGAAAACACCGAGATGAAGCTTCCGTCTCTCTGTTTTACCTCTAATTATGTTTTGTGCTGCTGTGAACCCGGACAGGTGGAGCTGGAGAGGAGAGGAGAGCACAGTGTTCTGAGGCCATCAGCTATCATTATGGGCCGGTTGACATCCCCCCTGTCTTTGAGTGATCCTCGTCCGTGATTTCCCCCGGCCATTTTCCTCAGATGTAGGCAGAGGGGTTTCATCATTGCCCCATAAAAAAGGTCCAAAGTGTCTGAACAGGTCCTCACTAATAAGAACGCCGGGAAACGCTGGAGCGTGTCACTCCTCCTCCATCCATATCTGCTCTCCTCGTGCCTTCAGATATAAGCAATCACCCCCCCCCACACCCTCCCCCCCGCCCTCCCCCATCACAGCTTCACCTGTTTTTCTCGCTATATGCTGAGAGTGGACGGCGGCGTACGCAGGGGTCAGTGGGATGAGAGGATGATGGAGGGCACAGACCACTATTTTCCTCCGGCTCTTAAAGCCGCAACGGCCTCAAAGTGGTGGAGTTCGCACTTTGACGAAAGAATCTTCCGACAAAGAGAGAAACTATTACAGTTATCGTCTGTAGTTTTCGACTCATAATCTTGTTTTTTTTTTCTTTTCAGACCAGGGTTCTGCAACCTGTGGCTCCTGGGCCACATGTGGCTCTTGAGCTAGACTGTAAAACGGACCAACTTTAGCCTGAGTGTGATCATCAAGATGGAAGACATTTTCACAGGTCACACAACAGTGAAAACAACATGACGTCTGTTCTCTTCACTCAAGGTCAGGTAGAATTTTATTTTAAAAAAATATCCTGAACATGAACTGTTTATGTTAATTTTTTTATTTCAAAATGTATCAAGCGGTCCAGACTGATCACCCAAGCGGGCCAGTTTTGGCCCGCAGGCCGTATGTTGACTCCCCTGGTCTAAAGTGTGACTTAAACGGTTTGGTTTCTCCACTGGTTTGAAGCAAAAAAAACCAAAAAAAAACATCAGATGTAAAGTATGAAAACCGGGAATCAAACCGCTGACCTTCAAGTGAGGCAGAGTCACACAGACCCTGGGCCGTTATTGAAATGAAGGGTAATGGTAACAGAGACATCACAGGTCAAAGGTCGCGCTGTTGTAAAGTTTAATGGACGACGGGTGGACGTGTGTGAGACGTGTGTGTCTCAGTGAAGACCTGGACCATTAACTCCTCAAGGCTGCAAACACCTCACACACACACACACACACACACACACACACACACACACACGGTGTCAGCGCTAATAACACCCAAAAACAGGGCTAACAGCGGTGAAAGCAGGGGCATCATATGCATGACTGAGCCTGGATTGTATGTGAGGATCTGTAATTGCCCCCTGAGAGGCATCAGTGTGTTCAGACGTCTTCACCGCCGCCGCCGCTGCCGCCGCCTCCTACGGAGCAACATCTCAACCTTGAGCAGGAAGTGAAAAAAAAAAACCAGCGGTTGAGGAGGGTGAGGAGGGTGAGGAGGGGGTGAGGGACGTACAGACAGTTCATTTACCCAGAACACCGTGCAGCGGCGCGGCCGCATCGTGGGAGAGATAAGGGAAGTGAACGCTTCACGGCTGACTGAAAACAAAGGCAGCAATTTGAAACCATCTGCATCCAAACACATGCTCTCTCTCCCTCTCCCTCTCTCTCTCTGCCTCCCTGCCTCTCTCTGCCTCTCTCTCTCTTCCTGTCCTGACTGATATTGAAACATAATCCATTTGGAGCGCAGACATGTCATAATATTTCTCCCCAGGCCTCACTCACCTCACACAGGGACAATTTCAGTTTTCGCTGCCGGTCGAACGGGAATGTTTTATTTTGACAATTCCGACGCTCGGCTGAGGCCGCAGTCTTTACTTTGATTCTCTTTGGGAAAACAAAAAACATCAGCACAACACGGAGGGAGATGGACTGAGTGCAAATACACCCCCCCCAACCCCCCCCAAAAAGACCTGAGCCGCTCCTGGTAGAAAGGCTCGGAGATCAAACTGGTCTTTACTCCGTGATTGTCTTTACTAGAAAACAGCCGCGTGTCGGGAAAAAAAAAACGTTTGGATGTGAATCATCAAACAGGAGTGCGCTGTTTTTACAAGTCTGTAAAAGAAGAAGAAGAAGAAGAAGAAAAAGGGCGTCTTTAAAGCTGCTGGTCTTTGAAGTGAGTTTCATACAAATGTGTTCTTCTCCGAGGCTCAGTTTGAATCCACTGTAAACAACTGGAAGAACGAAAACATTTGTTTTTGAAAAAGTCAACACTGACCACACACAGAATCATCTGCATAGACGAGGACACAGAAGCGGCGCTCGCGGCTAACGTCGGGTCACTTTAACTCAACGATACAATTAAAACTCCTACAAATTAACGACACAAAAAGAAATAACTGAAGTTTCTCAGAATTGCTAAAAAATAATGAAGAAGGATCGAAACTGCAAAAACTTAGTCTTAACAATCAGGAAATCCTCTAAAAGTTAGTGACAAATAGCCCAAAAAAATAGCCCCAAAATCAGCTCAATCTGGAGCAAAATGGGGGAAAAAAATTATTTTGGAAAAACGAAGCCTCCTGCTTTGACAAATTAAGCCAAAAAAATAGCCCCGAAATCAGTTCAATCTGGAGCAAAATGGGGGGAAAAAATATTTTGGAAAAACGAAGCCTCCTGCTTGAGGTCAAATGATACAAACCAAAGCGGCTAAATGTTAGCCATGTTAGCTACGACAATAAAATCAACTTAGAAGAGCTGTGAGTTAGCCAGAACTGTAACAAACAAAACATAACGTTTGATAATGGAGTACTGGAACGTTCCATAAAAGTTCCCCAACATCTGATAAAGAAGTACTGGAACGTTCCATAAAAGTTCCCTGGTAAAAAAAAAAGAATCGAACCCCCGACCTTTCGAACATGGAGTCTAAATTAGTTTTTGAACTCCTCTGTTCCTCAGTGTCTAAACTCCTGGATGGAAAGAACAGAAAACAAACAGTTCCAGGAACAGACGGAGGCCGGAGGCCGCGTCTGCACAATTACAGCGTTAATGGAGGAGACAATGAAAAAAAAACAAAACAAAAAAAAAAACAAAGGAATTTTGAAGAACGTCGACGGAGCCTCGTCACACACCTCAGCCATCAACGCTCGCTAACACACCGGGAGCTGAGAGCAGGAGAAGACAAGACATCTCCAACATCACTCTTCAGTCTCATGTTAATAATTTATGTCGTCTCTGCTTTTTATGATTATTATTTATTTATTTACCACTCTCTCTGTTTCAGCGCTCGTCTTTTCAAAGGCATCGAGGAGAGAGAGAGACAAACTTTTGACTTTAGTTTCAAAAGGCTTTCTACTCTCTTATACATTTATTTATCTCTCCTCCTCCTCCTCCTCTTCCTCCTCTTCCTCCTCCTCGTTTGGTTGCATTTTTTTGACTGGTGAAGCGTTGACGGAGGACCAGGTTCTGACACGTGTTCTTCTTCTCGGGCGCTGACCCCACGGAACATCTAAATAAACAGAACCCACTGAGGCTCACCTGCTCTCATTAACCCTCGCTCACCCGTCGACCAATCGCGTGTGAGGACTCACGTCACTCACTCACCTCGTCCTTATAAACATCAGGTTCGTGATTTGGACGCGACCTTGCAGCGAGAAGGTCTGAGTTTGTTTAAGAAGCCGTCAATAACCGGCGTTTGAAAGGAGACAAAAAAAAAGAGTCAAAGTCAGAAATGTTTACAGAGATTTTTTCATTTTTTTTTTTTTTTAAACTCGTGACCTGAACATCAGGCGTCACCTTTATGTATCTTTATGTAAACAAAAAAACAAACTTAGTTTTTCACTGCTGTGAATCTGACGGTAAAAATGTGTTTAAATCCTGTGGCTGTGGCTGAACGTACAGGCTGAAAGAATCACCACAGGGGGCGCTACAGACAAATTATTGGCCATGAGGAATTGTAATGTGTAACAGAAAAATATATGAAATATAGGATGAAATTTTTTTTAATAAAGTGATGTGTCCGCTCCTCGTTGCTATTTTACATTTAATGCTAAGCTAGGCTAACAAACACAGGTTCATATATTCAATTTTTTTTTAAATATTGCAAAACCTATATATATATGTATATATATATATATACAGTATATAAAAATGCCTAATCAACCAAAACATGTTATGACCCCAATGCAGTACAATTGCGGACCCCCTTAGGGCTGCTGACCCCCTGTTGGACAAACAGAGGCAAGGCTTCAATTATGTCGTCATAACAAAATAGAATTCTGTGACAACGCAACTTTAATTGTTTTGATTTACTAATGTAATGAGCTAATATGAAATATTTTTGTGGTTCTCAAACTGTGGTATGCAACCATTTTGGTACCAGTGGTTGGACGTGAACAGTGAAGTCTTGGGCTGTAGGATTTTTAATGTGTTTTAAAAAACATCAGGATCCAAAGTTTCACTCCTGGTCAAACAATTGTTTATTACTAATTATGGTACAAATCAACGTGACGGATGATTTTTTTCTTTTTTTCCACAAAGTGCTGCTGAAATGATCGAACAGATATTGCTCTAAAGATGAAGTTCAGTTTTCAGTCTGTCGAAAAGGAAACAAACAAACAAAAAAAAAAAAACGTTACGGAAAGAAAAAAAACAACGTCTGCAGAATCTCCAGAGATTAACGAAACATCGGGCCCCGCCCAGTGTGTGTGTGTTCGCAAACGTTCTCGAAATGTATCCAAATTAGGTTTGTCCGATAATATCAGCCAACCGATATTTTCGGACGATATTAGCATAATTAATGTAATATCGGTATCGGTACAGTTATCGGTATTGATATTGGAATCGGAAATTAAGTGTTTGGAAAAAAAAAGTTGATATTGGACATCCCTACAATAAATCATTCAAGCATTGGTTCTCAAAGTGGGGGCTGGGGACCCTGTAGGGGCAAGTTAATTTAAATTTGAATATTTTCAGATTTTGTTTTTTCAAAGTAGAAAAATGAAATATTTTGTCATTTTATTTCCTTTACAGTGAAAACAGAGGCTGAGTGTGTTTTACATAAGGTTCAGTGAAGTGTCTCTGTGTTGGGGCGTAACATAAGGGGGCGCTAGAGAAAAGTAAAGTTTGGATTAGATCATCGTTGGAATTTTTTTCCTTTTTCTCGTCGCAGGTGAATTTCACAAACACGTGAGACAAAAGTTCATCACAATAAAAATCACAATGAAAAAAAAAAGAAAACAAAGGTGAAAAAGTCAAACGTGGCTCAGGAAACAGATTCACCAAAATAAAAGCATCCGTATTGATTATCAATTATAATAACAATAAAAAAAAACACCTCCCTCTACTGGCTCCACGTGAACGGTGAAAGTTGACGACACAGTGCAGAAATTATTTTTCCCTCTCGTTTTTTTTTTTTTTTTTTCCCCCCCCCGTTTAGTTCAAAGCTGGGATGAAGTTCTGTTCACTTCTGTAGGCCTCAGGTCTTTAGTCTCAGATTTGAAAAAAGATTGTCTACACTGTGAATCGGTTCCTTCTGTACAATGTGCATAAACAGACAGAGCTTTGGTCCAAGGTTGACGAAGGCGGGACTTGTGTCTGTGTCGTCTTCTCGTCAGTCTCTCTCTCTCTCTCTCTCTTTTGGTTTTTGGTTTTTCAGCTTCAGTGTTAAACATCACAAACTGCTGAGGAACTACTGACTGGTGATATTTCTGTCTGATGGATCGTCTGACACTGAGAATTTTCTTCAACAAAATAAAAAAAAAAGAAAAGAAAAGTATTTTTAAAATGTTCTTCTCTTCAGGGTTTATACAGCACTTTCAAGGTCTGTTTTCAAGGTTTTCAAGCTCTGGAAAAATGCCTTTACTTTAAGTAATTGTATTGAACCGCTATCACTCCCAGGCTAACGTCAAGTTAGCGTCTCTCAGGCTAACGTCAAGTTAGCTTTGAAAAAGCCAGACAGAGTTAGCAAGAGCAAATTATAACAATAATTAGGTAGAAATAAATGTTTAAAAAATTAAAAAAAGTAACAATAAAATTTGAATCATCTTAGACCATAAAAACCACAGCGTTAGCATAAAAGCTAAACAGAGGGTTAGAAAAAGCTAAAATTAAAACAGTTAACAAAAGGAAAATGTACAAATAGTAAACGGCTGAACATTTGTAGAAAAAAAAAAAAAAAAAAATGAAACTAATTTTCAACATTTAACTCCAGCCTTGTTTTTAGTCTGAAACTCGAATCATTCTAAACCTTTGACAAATGTGAAGAACCTGAAGTGATGAAGAGTGACTTTAACAAATGTCCAGCGTGAAGAGACTCAGAACAGAGTGAAGAAAAAAAAACAAACTCAAAAAACTCAGATTAGAAATAAAACAATAAAAAAAACATCAACAGCTGGAATGACTTCAGTTCAGTTTTTGTCTTTTTGGCAGTTTGATAATTTTTTTTTTGGTTCAAAATTTTAAATACATTATTTTCCATGTGATTTGACTGAATGAATGAATGAATGAATGAATGAATGAATGGATGGATGAATGAATGGATGGATGGATGCTCGAATTTGAACTACCAACGGCCTTAGTCAGAAATGCTCAAAATATCACTACCAGTGCAAGGCAACATTTGAAATTTTTTTTTTTTACAAAACACTTTTTTTCACGACATAAAAGGGTAGGTCAAAAAGTTCTAAGACAGATGCTATCATATCCTTTGGAGGGAAAAAAAGTTCTAAGACCCTTTCATCTAGTATGTATAGTACAACAGCTACCTGTTAAAAGAAGTAGCGCTAATCAAATGTATATTTCTTGTAAATCTTGAACAGGAAGTGTTGCAACGAAGCAATGGCGGCCATTTTTGAAGTATTACCGTACTTTGAGATACTAGCCTTTTTACCTGACAGGAAGTGTGTATTGTACTTTTTCATGTTGCCAAGCACATGTAATGACATTTTGAGGATTTCCAAAGATGGAAGAAGGTTCAAAACACCTGACCATGAACCGTACTGAATATAAATGAACTGTTTGGACCGTTTTTTTTTGTTTTGGTGGATGTCTAATATAAAAAAGACAAGATTTCAACAGTTTGACCTGTTTGTCAATCACGACACACACGTAGCAAAACAAATAGAATAAAGGGAGAGGAAAAAAACAATGTAAACAAACAAACAAATATAAATAAATCAATAAATAAATCAATAATCAGGAGTGGAAACCGTCCCCAGTCCATGAGCTGAATCTCGATGTGTTCTTTGGCTATCAGGCTTTGGCAACAGAATGACACCTTAGCTCCAAAATAAGGCTGCAGTAGACTTGACAGACACTGAAACCCTTCCTCCTCCTCCTCCTCATCATCATCATCATCATTGTCAATCCTTTTTTTTAACCTCCGTTTATCCTTAAATACCTGTAAAAGTTGTACAAAGTTACAGCGTGACTGAAACACAACTGGTTATAACGCCACCGTTGAACAGCAAAGGTAATCCATAATATTTATTTTTTATATCCAAAAGTGAACGTCGTTGGTGCGGTTCCACGTCATCGTCGCTTTTTTTTTTTCGTTTTTTCTTTTTTTTTTTTGTCCTTGTTTTAGATATTTACATACAAACAGCAGAGGGAAAATTAAACCAGACAAAGATAAAAGTCCACCTCACACACAGAGTAGCTCAGATTTGCCCGTACAAATGTAAAAATTTAGAGCACATTTACATTACAAAAATTATTCTCCGTACTCAGATGCAACAGACTTTGGTAAATAGTGTTTTCATTTGGTATGTTCTCGTCACCAAACCCCTCCTCGGCGTAGGAACCGGAATTTGGACGACGGTCCCTGGACGAGCCCAGAGACGGTGCATCAAAAATGGACGTAGCCAACGGGAGGTGGAGACGAAGCCACGGAAACAAAAATGTGAAGAAACAATTGTAGGAAGGATCGCTAAAGGCTAGCCTAGAAACTACAATGAAAGAAATGAGTGAATACAAAAAAAAATGACAAAAAAGTATAAAAAGAAGAAAAATCGAAAATTATTGAAAATGTGAAAGAAAATACATTTGCTGGTTCACAGCTAAAAGTTGGGAAAAAAAAAGAAAATATCTGTAGTTCATCGACAAGAAAGCTAAAAGTCGATCGACTACGATCTTATATATTAACAAATATTAGCCTTAATGTTAAATGTTATCGAATGTATAAAAGTTCAAACAGTAGTAGCTAAAAGTTGGACCCTAGAATTTAGAAAAGAAATACAGCACAAAATTAGCTTAGAACTATAGCTAAAAGTTAGCTATAGAAAAACAACAGCTAGTTTAGAATGACAATAATTAGAAAAAAGGAAAAAAAAATCTGAAATTCTATTGGACTGTTTTTTCCAACATTTTTATCTGTCAATTTCATGAACAATGTTCCTAGATGGATTCCTCTGCTGCGTTATTGTCCTTTTCCCTCTAAACAGGATTGCAATTCATCACCCTTGGTGTGGCCACGCCCATTTTTTATACATAGTCTATGAGGAGACCAGAACCTAAAACTGTTAAAAACAGCACACCATTATTATTATTATTTTTTTTTTCTTTTCCTAAACATAATTCTTACACGTTAATCTCTTCGTTTTTTCTTGTTTTTGGTTTTTCGCCTCATGTACAGAACCGTGGTAAATCACACCGACAACACAAAGTTTTTTTCTTTTCGTCCGTCCAGCTTTCACGTCGCTTCCCGTGAGTTCGTCCTTCCAAACGGCCGCCGCTCCTCCACTGAACTTTTATATTTTTTTTTTGGTCAGAGCGCTGGTTTATTTGGGGAGGTCCTCCAGGGAGTCGGCGAGAGGGTCCATGGTTGCCGCGGCGCCCATTTCGGGCTGTTTCAAACGCTTTATCGTGTTTTTCAAGGCTTGTCTCTTGTTGCAGAACCAGACGCGCACCACCTCCCTGTCGTAGTTCAGTTTCTCGGCTATTTCCGTCATTTCCTGTCCGGACGGGTGCGTGTTCTTCTCAAAGTGGCTGTTGAGGATCTCCAGCGCCTGCGGGGTGAAAGAGGTCCTCCTCTTGCGCTTTTTGGAAGGCTCGCTGCCGATAAACTCAGTCAGGTTCTGCATGCCGGATCGGTGGCGGGCCTCAGCCTCGGCCATCCAGCGCTCCAGAACGGGCTTAATCTTCTGGGCGCTTTTAGGGGTGATGTCCAACTTCTCAAACCTGGCAGGATATAAAAGGCCAGGGTTCAGTTTGCCTGTCAGACTGCTACCTATAGTGTTCTCTTGGGCTTCCTGTGGTAGGAAAAAGTGGCTTCTCAGGATGGTGTGTCTGGGGAGAATTGAGAAAAAACAATATTTCTTAGGTGAACCCTGAACCAGAACAAGGGATAAGCCGCCTGCCTGAGAGTCTCCTCCACCAGAATGCCACCGGGACTGAGACCGAGGTCCAGGTTCAACACCTGCCAGTGGTGACTACACTTCCTGGAGGAGGTGGTTCTGCCTCGGTCCCAAATTGGCAACAGTGGAGTAAGGAGATGTTACCATTGGCTACACTCAGCTCCGACCCAACCAATCAAAAAACAAAAGAAAAAACTAAAATCAAAATCTACCTAAGTCAGAATGAAATCAACAACAAAAAACAAATATTCAACGTCGGCCCCCTCTGCTGGTAAGAATATTCACTAATGCATGCAGTTAAATACGGCGCCATCATTTATTCACACAAAAACAGCCTGAATTATTGATAAAAAAAATAATACATTTGATACATTTTTCAGACGTTCTGCCGCTCACTTTATATTTAATAACAACACATTTGCACATTTTAATGCTGCAGCGTCAGGACTGGGAGGAACATCACCGTGATCTCACCTCAGTCTCCTCACCTCAGTCCAAAAAAACAAACAAAAATATTTTATTTTAAAATAAAATGTTAAAAACATTTTATTTTAAACATTTTGTTTAAGTGTGTGTGTGTGTGTAAGTGCAGATGCTTTTAGTGAAATAAAAGTGACAGATGTGATGGAAAGACAACAAGAAGGTGGAGGAGAGCGCCACCTGTCTGTGGAGCAAACGATGGACAAAAGACATTTTTTTAATGCTGAGGTGAAATAATGTTACTGCTGTTACTGCTGCTGCTACTGTTACTGCTGCTGTTACTGCTGCTGTTACTGTTGTTACTGCTGCTGTTACTATTACTGCTGCTGTTACTGCTGCTGTTACTGTTGTTACTGCTGCTGTTACTATTACTGCTGCTGTTACTGCTGCTGTTACTGTTGTTACTGCTGCTGTTACTATTACTGCTGCTGTTACTGCTGCTGTTACTGCTGCTGTTACTGTTGTTACTGCTGCTGTTACTATTACTGCTGCTGTTACTGCTGCTGTTACTGTTGTTACTGCTGCTGTTACTATTACTGCTGCTGTTACTGCTGCTGTTACTGTTGCTGCTGCTGTTACTGTTACTGCTGCTGCTGTTACTGCTGCTGCTGCTGTTACTGTTGTTACGGCTGCTGTTACTATTACTGCTGCTGTTACTGCTGCTGTTACTGTTACTGTTACTGCTGTTGCTGTTACTGTTACTGCTGCTGTTACTGTTACTGTTACTGCTGTTGCTGTTACTGTTACTGCTGCTGTTACTGTTGCTGCTGCTGTTACTGTTGCTGCTGCTGTTACTGTTACTGCTGCTGCTGTTACTGCTGCTGTTACTGCAGTTGTAACAGTGAGGAGATGAGCACATCTCACATGCATGAACTTCCTGTTTCTTCACCTCTTCGCTGCATTCCCGCTCCTGGACAGGTGGTATTATTTATGACCCTCCCCCACTGAACAGTGTGCGTGTGTGTGTATATTTATATATATATTTATATATATATTTATATATAGCGGAGCGGCGGCGAACTGTGCTGCTGGGAAGAACATTAGTAAAGATGAGGAGTCACCAGAGACGGGACATTTCATGGATCAACAGGAAGAACAGACACTAAAATGAGTTGAGAGCCGCTCAGCTGGGGGGCGCTCTCCGTCCTCCAGCGCACCAGCGCCAGGGAAATACGGCCCAGAATGCACCTCTGCTCCATCTGGCCTCTCTTTAAAAGTGTCTCGGAGAAGATGTGACCGAGGTTTTAGAGCTGAGGTGCAGCTACAGCTGGAGGGGCTTCAGACAGAACGTCCAACCACTCAGAGAAAGTATCCATGAAATAACAAGAATCCTAATAATAATCATCGGCTTTTAGACAGACCATAAGATAATAACAAGAATAAAAGCTGTTCTGTATCACTGAAATGATGAAGAACTTTCTCCTGAAATCATTTCTCTGTTCTTTGACATCATGCAGCAGCAGCAGCAGCAGCAGCAGCAGCAGCAGACGACGACCGGACGTCAGGACGATTAAAGACGGCTGTAAAACACCGCGTCTGTTCAGATAAACTAATAAAGTGACCGTGGACCAGATGGAAGCTTCCGGCAGTGTCTGGTCTCTGTCTCTGGAAGTGAAGAACCCAGAGAAGGGTCTAGAAGGTCTCCAGAGTCTGACGTGTGGTGTTTTAATGCCGTACAAACCTGTTTGAACAGCAGCAGCAGCGACGACGACGACGAGGTTTATTTATGTCTGTTAATGGCTTTAATGTATTTGATAAATATTTCAATCATGTCTCAGTGTGAATAATTCATGTCTGAATGTTGAACATGGGGGGGGGGCAGACCCTCCTGTGAGACTTCACATTTTATCTGACGATTGATGTTGATGTGATGAAATTTTTAAAAGTAAGTTGCAGCCCCTCCTCACCCCCCTCCTCACCCCCTCACCCAAATCACTACAAACCAACAAACACATAAACAGGAACTGGAAGAGTCCAGGTCGTAATCAGTGAATTTGTAAAAAAATAAATTCAAAAAATTCAAGAACTAAATGCTGGAAATTCAGTTTTTAAAACTTTTTCCTACTCTTTAATTGTTGTTGGGTTTTTTTTTTTTTTTACAAATATTGAATCTAATTTGTTTGTGATTTGTTTCGGTCAAAAAAGATCATTTGAATTATAATAAACTTTGAATCTGAAACTTAGAATAAAAAAAATTTTTTTTGGTATGATTTTAGTGCTTAAGAATATTTTTTACTCCAAAATTTGTAATAATCTTTTCAGATTTTTTAAAATCATGTTATACTTCAAACAGCTGTTACTATTTATTAAAATCAAATTCTAACTTGTGAAATGTTCTCATAAATACTTTAGTCTCCATAAAAGTACTCTGAGTTGACTAATTAATATTTTTCTCTTTACATTCAGCAGATAAAAATTTAAAGTTTTTGGCCTGAAATCCTAAAGTTTTTAATTCTAACTCTTTGTTCTCCGACTGCAGAGGAACACGCGACTCATTTCGCCGGTCGAGTGCAGCGACAGGGAGAGGAGGGAGAAGCTGATTGGCTGATCAGTCTGTCTCATGAATCTATGATGATGCAGCGTTTAGCACTAAACTGTCCCTGCAGCAGCAGCAGCAGCAGCAGCAGCAGGAGCAGCAGCAGCCGCAGGAGCGGGAAAACACACAATCTTATTAACAGATCCTCAGCGTCGCCACCTCCTGTTCGGGCCTCAGTAATTATTCAGTGCTTTAAGTGGTGCTGCGTGTAATACTGCTGTATGTATTTTGCATAAGTGACACGGGGCTGTCGTGTCAGCGGGTGAGGAGAGGGGGGGTGGGGGGGGCGTGCGACGAAATGAG